CATGGGGGTGAGTAGAAAATGAAGGCTAATCATGTTTTTGGTGTACTATTCCTTTAAGTAAAAAAACTATGTGAAAATGAAGGAATAGAAACAGGAAAAGTCAGTTAACATGAGCAACATATGATTAATGTTACAAAGTTCCTTCCCTTTAAAATCTCAGAACTGCCAAAATGACGGCCTTGGGATTTCTAGTTAAAAAACCTCCTGGATGAGGCTGCTTTGAGAAAGTCAGTTTTATGAGCTTTTCAAAACCCAGAAAATAAGAGTAAATATTCTGAGCAACACAAAAAAGACAGCCTTTAATTTAAGGTACAATGCAGACTGTTGGCTAAGAGGAAATACATCCGTATAGATGTTAAAATCTGCAAAGTTATGCTACGACCTGCAGGTGCTAACGTCTCAACAGCCAACAACAACAAACACAGGAACCAAAACGCTGCAGAAAGCAGCTTCCTGCTTAATGATCCTCCATTAAACGACCCTTTTCTAGCTTCTGTTTCACTGGCAAGAGATTTTAAATCTTCTTGATAGAAACAGCCCTTTCTACATTAAATTAAATCAGCTGTATGCTCTACCGCGCAGGTCTGCGTAGGGATGAATATTTTCAGGTGTTTCAAGGCAACAGCCAGCATGTGTGGACAAGTTGACAGGCTGAGGATTAACTGCTGTAGCATCTTTAGGCCTGAGGCTTTTAAAAGCCAGAGAAGCGTTTCCATTCATATTTACTGGGGAAAATTCACCTTTTCACAGCTTTACCTTCCTGGGACTTTGGTCCATTTACAGACCCAGTAGTTTCTGGCCTTGTTTGGAGGGTGGGTTGTGTAAATCACCAGCAGTCACACTAAGTTTATCACAAAGTGATGTTTAAGATGTGTCTGTGTAGTCAGTTGATGAAGAAATGTAATGTAAATAGAGTCAAACTTACTGGTCTCAAACACCCAGAGGGGGCACTTCCTCCAAGTGTATGCAGAATCCAACATGCCTCCAAACACATAGAGGAAACCCTGAAGAGGACAGACAGAAACACAGAGACCAATATTTTCCAATGTTTTCCTGCTATACAGGAATAAAGTGTTTGCATTTATTCAAAATGAAGAATTTTATACCTTATGAGCCACCATAGAATGCTGCTCCAGCTCTTCTGGTGCAGCTTCACCAGTGCAGTTGAGTCGGGTCCATTCATCAAGCACTGAAGGAAACACAGTGTGTAATGAGGTCACTGCTGCATCTAGAGACTCTCCTTTGGTCTATTTGGTGCAGAGCTCTTATTCTTATGCCAACTACAATAACTACATTTATATTCAAACACTTTACGCAATAAAAAAAAAAACATGAGGCGCAGTAAAATACGAATAAGCTCGACAGCGACAAACACAAGTGGAAAAAGGAGAGCTTCGAAGTTGAATAATAAGATAAAGGTAACCATTTTAAAAGTTGAACTGTACAGCATAAGAAGAAAAAAGATTTTAATTATTTAAAAAAAGAAATGACTGTGTGGTTATTAATAAAAAGTAGGGTTGTCAAAAGTATCGATACTCAAAAAAAGTATTGATACTGAAACGTTGTATCCGGATACAA